CCCCCCCTCCCCGTCCCTGCCTCTTGTAACTCACCGGTTTGTCGCCGCACGGCGCCCCCTGGCGATGATGTTGTCTGGAAACGCTGCTCTATCATTTCCTAGGCGAGATCGCCGGCGAGCAGCCCAAGGGCCTGGCGCAGGTGCTAGTGTCCAAGGTCGTATCCCAGACCCCGGCAGAGAGCATCACCACGCACCAAGCGCAAGTCTTGTCAACGGGAGCTGTCGTCGTTCGCGTGGACTAACTTACACTCGTGTTCGGGGTGTTTTATTTCACCTTGGCCACCCGAAACACGCCGACCACCAACCACCTTGGCCACCGAAAAGGCGGTGCTTTGCTCCAGGGCGGACAACTATAACACATGTTTTACTAGGGGCAATGGCCTACCAAGGACAGGACTCAGAGCGTTTGGCCATGACCGACCAATTATGGAAGGGTCTGCCGAGGGAGAGACGGCGGAACAACAACGATGTAGACGTAGCTCCTCCTTCATGGGTGTAAATTGTCCGCCTGAAAACTTCGAGGGCGGCAATGTTCAGCTTCGGCACGTTTGTGACGATGCGTTGAGGAGGATTGAATCACAGGAGGAGTGTTACGATAGAAGAGTGGAGAGAGGGATTCTTGTGAAGAGGTTTTTCTTCTCAGGAGTCCCACACCAAATTTTCCCCGATAGTTTCGGAGCGGGTGTTCCCATGAGAAACCATGTATGCACATTGAAGAGCCGCTTTTCTGTTGTTGTTGTTTGCTCTGGCTCTGTTCCCTTCCTTCGCCAGGGCGGCTTGTCGTAGCCCGTGGTCCTCTTTTCTGTTTTCCTCTGTTTTAGCGGACAGAGCATGTGGCACTGCATTCTTGCGCATCTACGCGCCGATCCCTCGGGGATTGAATGCGTAGTAGAGCCCACCATCAAGTTGAGATAGATTCGTGTAGAGTATCAATACTGCGCATTCAGAGTGCCGATAGGTCCAAGCTCGCGTTGTACCGTTTGTTGTGCTACTTCTGTTACAGTGTCGTCGTCTGGAGTACGCCTAGACGTGCGCGTGCTTCCCAACAAAGAGGCCAGGTATTTTATTTTACTAAATGGTAACAGCACCATCATTTTTTTTGTTTCCCTTGTGAGAGCGTTCAGGTTTCTCGGGTCCCCGACAGAACAGACACGGCATCTTCTAATTATATGCAGCCCTCGGTGTGTTCAGGGGTGCCCGTCCCGTTTCCACACTGGGAGGGACTTGGGCCCGTGTTCTCCGCTGAGGGAAGTGAGCGGGGCTCTCTTGCCACCATATGACAAGTAGTCTAATCCGTACCCACGTACTACATCTGGACAAACGATGACGGGATTTTTTTGTGTCTTCCACGGGAAAAGGAGAGGGTTCCCCCGGCGACAGAGGAGTTGGGCTCCTCTGGATCGAGAAGACGCGTACGTGAAAACGACATTCAACAACAATCCTGTTTCACGTCTTCACACTTCCTTGCCATCTTCACAGGCACGCTCCCTGTCTGTGAAGTCCCATTTTTTTTACTCTGAGAAATATACAAGTACATTTTTTGTGTTGTTGTTGCTGTTGTTATCGTTGTCTTCACATTAAAAAACCGTTCCGATCTCACTAAACTCAGGACCTTCGTATGACAAAATTCTAACACTTCACGCGGTCGATGTATGTCCATCCGTGTCATAGGCTAACCTATGCATACAAAAAAGGTACAAGTATCTAAAGTTGGGTGTAACGAAAACAAACTAGACCCGAAGGTTTCGCAAGTCAAGCAGATACAGCAGTAGTCCGGAACCCTAACCAACCCTTCCGGTCGCATCCCTACCCGGGTAGGAAAATAAATTCCGCTGTGACTAGGAATTCGTCGCAAATCTAACGTACTAGATATAAAGTGCACACCATAGGATAGAGATGGACCCGTCGAAAAAAAAGCAAAAACTCATTCATTGCTAATCTATCATAGACTTATTTCTATAGAGATGGATTTGTTGTGTGAAATTTAGAAAAAAAAAAATGCCCCCCTCCCAAAAAATAAAACGCGGCGTAATATGCATAGATCTATGCACAGAGTACACCCCATCACGAGCCCATCTCCCATCTCACTGCTGCTGCCTTGACGTTGCCCGGATCGGAGCATCGTCAACATCGGACTGACCATTGAAGCGCACTGAACTGGTTTTCCTTCCTCGGAGGTTTGAGGAAGGAGGAGGCACGTGTGGCAAGTAAGCCGGAAACGCAACGATTATTTGTCTAAATGTTGAAGGTAGGTTTTTCAGACAACAGCCCTAAGCCAAGCGGTACACTACTGTTGCGCATGTCGTGGCAAGCAATCAATAGGTTGTATCGGGCTTTTTCTGTGTACCGAACCACAGTACGGCACAGACCGCCAGGTCTATTAGATCGGGGGTAGCAAGGGATCTGCGCTCGGCAGGTATGACACGACCTACACTACTACTAATGTACCCGTTGTTGCAGACCAGGCCGTCGTTGTTGCGTCCCCGCGCGGCTTCGAAGCGACGGTGCCTGTCTCGGGATTGCCGTCAAGCGTCCCAGAGATGCAGCGCTGGGTGCAGGATTAGTTCTGCGGCAGACAAATGCCCATCGCGGCTGTGATACGAGCTGATACCTCCTATCGACCATCTACTGTTGTGTTGCTAGGGGCGTGAGAGTTCCTGTCGGCTGTCGGCTTACACTGCTGTACCCAAGAGGAACTCAACTGCAAAAGTATTAGTCTAGTCTACAGAATCGCGGATAATCCTCACCAGGTATCGTGCTGAAACGTGTTCTTCTGTAATCTACAGCAGTCGTGGGCTCAGCATCGCGCTTCTGCTGCCTGGGCAACCTTGTTGCAGAGGTGGGCCAACCTCTGGTCTAGAGCTCCAATCAAAATGACACACAAGTAGAATGACTCTACATCTGCTTTATCTGAACATGTGCAACGGGATTATGCTACTCTCGAATGTACTACTGCTGTAGCATGACAACAAAGTCGCGGTGAAGTAGAATCGGGCCATAAAAGTCGTGTGTCCCGCCGGCTGTACAGCCTAAACTCACACCCACCATCACCAACTCCCAACTTTTCGTGCTACAGTACAATACAGCGGTAGCCAGTTCTGTGCGAACGCCGATACCTCTTACTCCGATCTCACGTGACGCAAAGTAAAGGTTGCTTAGATTTGTTCGGGGCTTGAGCTTGGGCGGGTAAATAGGTGCGGCAATAAAAATACCATTTATTTTTCGTAGATATGTCAACACCATTGCCCCCGATTGTAGGCATGGCCACACCACACCAACACATAGGTTCCGTGATGCGTACAAAAAAGTAGCTGGTGCTGTCGGATGCTCGAAGTTTTTCCGCCTAGGAACGCCGGACACCGCGATCATCCTATGCTCAATCGTACGGTACGGCAGACGGGGTCCCTTTGGAAGGCAGGAATATGGCCAGGCCGACTCACGGCGCCCTGTAGCGGGCAACCGCCCTTTCTAGAGCATGCAATATCTCTTGTTTTGGGTATCCCTCGCGGCTAGTTTTTTCTGCAATATACTGGCTTCGCTGTTAGCGACTTTAATTCCGATGTTAAGATACAAGGCAACATTCTCCCGCCTCTGCCATTTCTCTTTGTCGCCCCCTGTGACCCGAACCATGCACGACCTTGTGCAGGGAAGCGACGCCTGCGTGCCAATCGCACAGCGGTCGTGTTGAAGACCCCCCTTCCCCTCGCGAGACACGCACGAGCGGCACGGGCGGACCCGTCGAGAAGAGAGGTCGTAGGCGTTCGCCGACGGGGAACCACCCGCTAATCAAGGCCGCGATACGGGGGGCAACCCAACCCGCCACCCAACACAAGCACCGCCGCGCAAGCTGCCGCGACAGCAATGGCCGTGTTTCCCGACGAGGAGTCCCAGGCCGTTCCGGCGGCAGCGGCAGGAGCTGCCACCCCGGCCGCACCGCACGATTCGCAGCCATCGTCGCTGGTGACCAGGCTCTCCGCGGGCGGGGGCGTCTCGCTGTCGTACCGCGTGAGCCTCTCTGTCGAGGTCAAGGACGTCTCCGACACGGGCAAGGCGACGGGGGGCACGCGGAGGAAAGTAATCGTGGATGACGCATGCGGGACCGTCGCTCCTGGGCAGGTATGTGTGTTTGTGTGTGTGTGCACATTCCTCTTCTTGTGCAGGGCCCCCTTTCGTCGGGATGTTTCAGGGGAGATCAGACGTGGAACACAGACATGGACCAAGTAAATAACACCTATGCAGCCGTCGTTGTTGTTGTTGTGGGCGTTTGTTGTTAAGGTCCTTTCGTTCCTGGCGAGACAAGACTCTTGCAGGCGGGTGGGTTTGATCGACGTTTTCGCGCATTAGTTAAAGCATTTTGATCTCGGCAATAAGCATGCTGCTTGCACTTTGAGTGGATCTTTTCGCCTTCAAGACGTGGCGCACGCTGCTTCGGGCCTTCTTTGCGTACCCATGCGGCGTGCTTCAAATATGCTTCGATATGCATGGGAATCTGCGTTTGTTTTCAAGCAGCGCAGGTGCGCTCACGCCACTCAGAATCCAGACTGCACGACTTTCGTTCAACCCTTGTTTGTGATTCCTACCGCACGTGGGTCTATCGGCCCTGTTCATACACGGTTTGTACGATGAATCTTGTGCCTGGCTCTATGTTACCGTTTCGAGCAGATGTTGGCCATCATGGGGCCATCTGGAGCCGGAAAGACAAGCCTGCTGAACTGTCTCAGCCTGAGAAATCAATCGTACAGGCAAGCGGTTCTCTCTTGTTGATCTTGATAGCTTCTTTCTCGCATCGGGTGGACCTGTTCGTTGTCCCCTAGGGTGCCTCAAGGCCACTCCTAACAATGCTTCGAGTTTCATGACACAGACCCCAACCGCGGCGGACCCTCGGTTTGTACCAGGCAGACGGTATCTGCTATCGGTGTTGCTGTTGCTGGTGTGGCTTAGTCCATTGGTCTCGGGCAAATCATCCCTGCATTGGCGCCCCTTCAAGTCGCCATCCCCTCTGGTGCCTACTCTAAGCCTGTGTTGCGTTGTGTGGCTTTTGCTTCCGGTGTTTGTTTTCCTCCCGGTGTCTTCATCACAGCGGCACCGTGCTACACAACGGCAAGTCCCCCGACATGGACATGGTGGGCATCACGACGGCCTTCGTGCAGCAGGTTGGTCGATACCCCGTCGTTGTGTAGTTTCCGCTCGTGGCACCTGTTTGCGGTATATGGTTACGGCATCACCAAACTCTAAATTCCACCAAACGAGTAGGAGCAAGAGCGTGTAAGCAAGGACTGTTTGTGAACTTGGAAACGCTATGCTAGGCTGTCTAGTTGACAACCGAGTCCTGGTTGGGGAACCATTTGTCTGATGTACGTGTGCACCGTCGTGAACCTCGGTAGGTCCCCAATCGACACGACCCTTTGTCATGCCCGTTGGGGATACCGGTCTCACACACGTCTTTGTGTGGTCAGTGGTTGCGAGGCGTTCGTTCTGCACCGAGAGGCAGAGCTTTACTGCTGAGTTTGCTCTCTGTGCGGGATATGGGGCGACAGGGTTCCAACGCTCCAGTGAAGCACTTTGTGGGACCAAAACGCGAGTTTATTCTCAAACGCCGTCTACCCGTTTCGCTTCGATCGGACTCCCCAATGATGGTGGGGAAATGGTACCAAAACCTACATCGGCGGGAAGGTCGTATCTACGGATGAAGTACAACGCGCGATATCGTCGAAAGACACGCGTGGGCGGCACGGAACATTCAAACTACTATTTTCGATTTTCTGTTTCTTCGTTTCAATTCCTCTGTTGATGGAAGCAACCGCAACAGATAGTAACGAGGAGCGGCGGATTTATTGTGCGATCGGTACAAACGTTGCAACCATTCAAGCGAGCGGCCTGCGGCGCGCGTCCCCTTCCCCCCCTCCATGCGTTCGACCCATCACAGGAGGACCTCTTTATCCCGACCCTGACGCCGCGAGAGCACCTCCGCTTCCACGCGAACATGAGAATGAGCAGGACATTGTCTCCCGAACAAAAAATGCAGGCGGTCGAGACCGCTTTGGAAGGGCTAGGACTCGGTGTGTTTGGGAAAAGAGCGTGTTGCAGCGATGCGGTCACGGATTTCATTGGATGATCGGCTCGAAGGGGTTGGATCGGGCGCCACGACACCATTAACATTGTGTCTGAGTTGATACGGGCTTTGTCGGCTTTGGAGATGACGTTCGACGCTCTGTTGAGCGTCCTTTTGGAGGGCTTGTTGGCCTTGGTAGGTCGTAAACAAAGACTTATCCACGCCTCCTCTTCTTTCTGTCGAAACACGCTGCACACATTTGCGTCAACCCCGCGTGCAAACGTGTTGACACACGACTCCCATTCCTTCCCTCCCCCCCACATTTTTTTCTCGTCGAACGTCGCTGTTTTTTCTTTTCATTCTGTATTGCAGGCAAGTGCGCCAATACGCCTATTGGCGGACAGGGTAGCACCATCCGTGGCATTTCCGGGGGCGAGAAGAAGCGCCTTTCCTTCGCGACGGAGGTTCTCGGCGACGCTCCCGTCATTTTTGTCGACGAGCCGACATCGGGTGCGTCAACCGTTGTTGCCGCTGCCATGTTTCGGTTTCGGTTTCTGCTGCTATTGTCATCAATGGCAGCACCAGTGCCCTTCAGTGCAATCATTAATTAAGCTACTTTTTAATTGTTTTTATGAATCCCTTGTGTCTCCGAGCGGTATTGCTCCTTTTGCTGAGGTGATGACAACGGTCGTCTGGCATCAATGACGCGTCTTTGGTGTAGCCATCCGGAGACTCTCACCGCGGGCCACTGGCCACTTCCCTCGCTCTGGTTGGTCTGCTTCACCCGGCAATCTCATCGCGAGGGAATGCACGCCATCAAGAAGAGTTTGCGACCTTTTTGATTCGCGTGTTGTGTGCCCGGATTTCCCCGCTGACCTCTGTGCCCGCGTCTCCCATCATCCAAGGTTTCAATGAGACATCCGCCATCGTGCGGTTTCCCCACATACTATATGTACTTCGCTCTTTTACCCGTTCCCTCAAGGGCTTGATTCCTTCATGGCCGAGGCGGTTGTGACCAAGCTTAAGGCCCTTGCAGAGTCCGGGCGGACGATTGTGGCCACTATCCACCAGCCCTCGTCTCACGTGAGCAACCCAATCATGATTTCTGTTTTTCTTTAGCTATGTACAATCCACGATGTACAACCGACGTTTTGGGTTATGGCTTGTGACAGCACGAGTTGCTGCGAGTAAGGTTACCTCGGCACCGGTGTTTTTGATGGAAACAGGCGGGAGCGGCAATGCCATGCGAGGGGCCAACTTAGAGCCCTTCATCGTGTTAAGCAGAATCTTTTGAGGGCATCCCGCTCAGACAACATCACAACCTCTGAAACCGGTGGTCTCTCTAGCGACTGTTGTCCACGGCAGTGGGCACAAGACCCATGTCTTCGGAGGACGAGAGGTAGGCTGTGTTGACGTGGTTTCGCTTTTGTATGCCACCCGTATGTCGGCTAAATGCCTCGGGTGGGCCGAATAAACAATGAGCGAAACGACCACAAAATCACAAATACGTGTGGTACCATGGTGCTGCTGACCGCCGTTGGTTGGAGCGACGGGACGATGCTGTTTCTCGTTTTGTGCCAACTGAACCTGCAACATTGGAAGCATAAGGCTAGGTTGTCGACCTTGGCCGCCCAAGCACGATGGACGTGCTAAATCTTGACGATGGAGGCTACGGTATGGGGCGTAGGAACGCGGCACAACTTCAGAGCCTCTTCTTCTGCCGGAGGCTCGTTTCTGGTTGCCTTTCGTGGGGTAACCCAGTATGGACACTATAGGTCTTTGTACGAGATTCTAAAACTGAGCACCTGTTATCACGGCCAAGCCTTGTGTTCCGAGCTTGCTTGGGTGGCGACGTTCCAGCAAAACTGTGCGGTCGATTAGGGCACACATTGCCATGAGCACCCCGTCCGCTCGGCCCAACAACACGCAGGTATTCAGCCTGTTCAGCCATCTGCACCTGTTGGCCGAGGGCAAGACTATCTATTGCGGGCCGTTGGACCGAGCGAATGCGCACTTCGAGGCCATCGGGCACCCCTGCCCCAACTTCTACAACCCGGCGGACCACTACATAAAGGTCATGAGCAGGTGGGTGTGTGCGTGCATGCGTGAGGATGTTCCTGCGAGATACAGTAGTTCACGGCGAACCCGCAAGTCTTGCTCACCAGCAGAACTGAAACCTTACGTTGCGGTGCATTGTTCGGGTCCAAGCGTTCTGATTTTGTTTTGCCTGGAGTGTTCTCGAAGGATGCGCGCAAAAGACACACATGCAACTAAGACCCACACAGTTTAGTTACCAGCACGATTCGCGTGAGCAATACACACGCGATAGTTGTAGTGCGTGTGCGTGTGCGTGTGCGTGTGTGGTGTTACCGTGTCGAGATTACGGGCTTGTGGTTAGGTTCTCAAGTGTGCCTCCAGTGATTGGTGTTTCCTCGCGCCTTTCGCCGTTCCGCCGTGCTCTCCTGCCAGGGATCCGTCATCCCTTGACGAGTCTGAGCGGCGAATCACAGCGGCTGCGGACGGCTACCGACGGTCTGCCGCCTACACTCAGGTCTATCTTCTTTGTAATTGGTGTTGGTGCGGTGGTTGTGGTAGCAATCGTGGGGGTGGTGGTGTAACGCTTCGTGAATCTCGTAGATCTGTGTTTCTGAGCACCGAGGAGGAATCGAGGTTGACCACTGCTTGGAAACACGAGTGGTACTTTCGAACATCCGTTTGGTGGCGCATGCCCTGATATTTCGCTCTTTTTGTCGGAATTCCTTTCCCATCGCATCCCGCCATGCCGAAGCAGCAGCTGGAGAAAGTGGCGCCACGCAAACGTTTCTCCTGTATCGCATTGGAATTTGAAAGTTGGGATACGAGCTAACAATAGGTACTTGAGCGCAAGCTGTGGCACATTGATGCCGGGCACTGGTGGTGGCTACGGAGTCCAACTTTTCCACCTCTTACCTAAGGACATATCTGGCGCTTACCACATTGCGCGTGAAACAGAATGTTTTTTCGTCTGCTTGTCCTTGTCGTGGGTTTCCAAGTTCCTCTTTTTTCTTCCGCTTGGGGACTTGTTCGAACCCGCTTTGCTGCCCGAACGTTCTATCGTGTGACGTCATTTCCATGTGTCGCTTCCTGGCGTGCGCGCTCGTGTGTCTCCCACACCTCTGCAGACAGAGGCGAA